TCTCCAAAAATAAAGAGAGTGGAGGACAAGAAATATATTTAGAACAAATTATGATCATAAGTTTTCCAAATTCAATGACAACTATATACCCACAGATCCAAGAATTATAAAAAACCTCAAACACCATAAATATGAAGTAAACTCAACCAAATTGCTCAAAACCAGTAATAAAGAAAAAATTTTAAAAGCAGCCAGAGAAAACAGACATTATATATGGAAGAAAGATAAAGATAATGGCAGACTTCTCACTGGAAGTAATGCAAGTCAGAAGACAGCAGAGTATTGAAAGAAAAAAACAAACCAAAACGGTTGATCTATAATTCTGTACCCAGAGAAAGTATCTTTTAAAAATAAAAATGAAATAAAGAGTTATTTCAGATAAGCAAAAGGTAAAAGAATTCATTACCTATGAATCTACATTACAAGGTAAACTAAATTTTAGACAAAAGGAAAATGATTCCAGACAGAAATCTGCATTTATACAAAGCAATAAAGAAAATGGTAACTATATAGGTAAATATACATGCTTTCATTCTTATTATTAAAATTTCCTTAAAATATAATAGACTGTTTAAACAACAAAAACAAACAAAAAAAAGAAAGAAACAAAATAATGTTCCAAATGAGTGATAACCATGAGAACAATATAGATGATACAAGCAAGCAGTGGTTATGAGTGACCCAATTATTCTTGACTGGAGCAACTGATCTGTGTAAAAGGATAGTAAGAGGTAAAGACAGAAAGGTAAGCAGGTACCACATTGTGAAAGACCTTATCTTAAAGACTTCATGAACTAAAATTGTTTATGGTTTATTCATTAGGATAGTAACATGCACCAGGTGCTGCTGTTGTTTTGTTTCCTAAGATTAGTTACCCAGCAGAGTACAGGATGGATTAAAAGGTAAAAAGAGTAGGCAGAGTACCCAATAACAAAAGCCTGGGTATGAGAATATACGGATGTAAATTAGAATGGTACACTGAAAACAAAAAAAAAAGGTGAGGGAGACCTAATGGAAAAACTTAGTGATTAACTGCTTAGCAGGGTTGTAGGAAGAGGGAGTAGTGAGCAGTCCTATCTCCACTCTAACAACCTCTTCCTTCACAGTGAAAAGCAGCAGAAATGGTAACAACATAGGTCTATATGTAAGATTTCATATTCTAGTCAATTATCAAAAGAGAAAAAAGAAACTCCCTGATTACCATTGATTTTACCAAGGTTTTACTCAAGTACCTTTTTTTTTCCTTAATCCATTCATTCTCTGTGTCTTTTCCATCCTATAGCATGTTTTGTAATAGAATGAAAAGCAAAGATGTAAAAGATATATAAAAGTTGATGAGGTAATGGCAATATATTATGAAATAGAACTGTAAAATGTAAAATCTCCACTGTATTAAATACTGCCAGCAAAGAGTCAAATATGTGAAGAACGTACTTGCTACGAAAACCTTCCACAAATAACAAAAGACTAACTACAACACTATCCCGATTCTCTTCAGCAATTTTATTAACAAAACAAAATCAACTTAAATACATCAAAATAAAAGCATAAAAATGTTTAAAATTAGTCTTAAGGAAATATAACATAATCAATAAGACTTTACTTGTATGAAAATCTGAGCCTCAATGCACATTTTTTGGTTATCCATGTTCTATGTATGTTTTTTCAACAGACATATAGATATATGTTAATTCATAATTCTCTGCTATATTTTATTAGATACTTAAGTTCAAAACATGACTCAAATCCATATTTTATGAAGCATATGCAAATACAGAAAATATTAGAAAACTTGGAGGGCAGAAAATAAATATATAAAGAAAAAAGGTAACAAAGTAAACTGAAAAGACTTCATACACTAATTTCTAATAATATTTATGAAGCATTACTGGTATCTGCACTTGCCCAAGAACACCTAACAATTATATCTACAGGAATGGAAATATGATGTGGGAATCACTTTTGTTACATATCAAAGGGGCAGATAAGAATATTGTTTATGCTTGGTAACAGTTACATAAGAAGAACATTTTGTAACATCAGTCATTACTTTAGGCATACCTGATTTCAAAACAAACAGGATTCTGACCTTGTCAAAGGCCTGTGGGAATGATACTGCACACTTACTGGGAATATCAAATATGAAGAATGAGACAATTGGTCCCTGAAGCACATAAACATCTCCATGTAGAAGCAGCCACCACCTGGTGTCCCATCTTTTAAATTCATTAAGAAGGAATCAGGAAGTTCACCTGGCCAAATCTTGTTCCTAGTGTTTGACTAATTTTCTAACTATATAGAGATATGAAAGAATAATTTTCATGGCCTCTACATCACTATTAAATTGCTATTGCATGTAATAAGGATGCCAAAATAACAAAAGATTTTGGACTTCTAGCTTTCTAAATTTTATATTACTAGTTTCAACTTCATTTCATTAAGAAATATACACTGAAAACACAAACTATCAATGTGAAGGGGGAAAAAACCTAAAAGAAAATACTGCACAAATGTATAAAGGAAAGATATTTTAAGTATTTTTTAAGCTAGAAACATTAATATACCTTAAAACAGCAAACAGAAAATTCCCCCAATATGAAGAGCAGGGTTAGTGTAATATGGCTTCATTTGTAAAAAATACATTCTCAAAACACTAGGAAGAAGGATCAAGTATCTCCTCAGAGTTTAAATACATTTCATACATCAAACCCTGGCTGAATCTGATTTATCTAGGTTCATTTTTTATTTATTTAATAAATAAATAAATTTAATAAATAAATAATGTCAATACCTTCAGGATGTACCTTCCTGACTCCCCAGAGACCTCTGTATCACTAGCTACTGCCTGAATAGCAAGGAGAAAAAAATGTATACCTCCTATTATGGTTGAAATCAAAAATAAATTCAGTTTCTCTATAGTATTTATCTTGATTTCAGAATGTTGTATTGACTGATTGTTTACCAAAACCCTTAGAAGGTAATTTGTAAATTTTCAATATTACATATTTTGTTTAATCTAAATTGAGCTTAATTATACTAAAGTGATTATAAGAATAACACTCTCCCATACCACTGTAGTTAGGGCCTATTTGTCATTTTCTTGTATAATAATTACTGGAAAAGTAACTGTGTCTTTCAGTAAGGTGTCATTTGTAAATAATTTCATATTTCATTCTATATTCTTTATAAATACATCTAAAGTATGTGAAAATTCAAGTATCATATATTTAAGTATTAAAAAATTTTAGAAAATGATACTGTCTTCATCATATTTAAACAAGTCTTAGACAAGTTTACTATACTTTTCTATTTAAGATATATCAACTTAATATTCATAGTATTTTAATACAATGTTTTACAAATGTCATTATTGCTAAAAGAACTTTCTTTAATACTAATTCCCAAAGAAACTATCTATAAATGTAGGTAAAATCATACTCCCAAGTTCAATAAAGAAATGTTAAGCAGCATGTTTCTTTAGTAAGAATTACACACACATGCATGTACACACACACACACACAAATGTACAAATGTACATTTGTACAAATGTACACTTAAATTCTGTTTACCACATATCAGGGAAATATTATCTCATTTTATTCTCTCAGCAACACTGTAAGACAGGAAACATTATCACCCTAATTTTGCAAGTGAGGAAATTGAGGGACAAAAATCCAGTGACTTGGGTCAGGCACAATGATAGCAGGTGGTTGATCCTCAAATCAAACTCGTACGACTCCACAGCTGAAGACAAACTCTGTATATTTACTTTGTGAGGAGGAGCAAATAGGCAAACACAGGGCTGTGCTATTCAGCAGAAAAGATATAACATAAAGTAATACAAAAGGAAGATATAAAATTACATATATATATATGTATATATATATCATGATAGCAATTCTGTTTTTTAAAATGCCTAGAAACAGACTAGAAAGAAACATGCCAAAAATGTTAACATTTACCACTGAGCAATGGGATTTGGGTTCATCCTTCTTCTCATCTAATGCTCTTGTGCTTTTAAAATTTGACAGAGTATGAATCTCTTTTACAACCAGATAAGAGAAAGAACAGTTAAGTGGAAAAGCAAAGAAGTTTGATAGACTTCAAGAATGCTGCTTCTTGTCAAGATTGCCTATGCACTACCAGTTTAAATGAGGACAATAAATAAAACATTACTAAAGATTATGGCTACTTATTCCAAAAAGGCTTATAAGAATTCCCTATTGCACAACAGTGCAAGGAGAGATATGTGTACAGTCCAACTTCAAAAAAGACTATTTAAAACAAAGATGAAGAAACAGAAAAAAATTAAGTAGAAATATTATACAGCACAACTAGGAATCTAAAGAATCAGTTTAAATCACTGATAGATGATTACTGAAGATTGTAAAAGCAGCACAGAATGTATTTCCCCAAAGCCTAAACTAATGAACATTTAGTTACGTACTTAAAGATTTCCTCGGAAAACCATGACTGTCCGTGTTATATCATTGCCTGTGCTTTTAAGCTAAGCATTACTTGCCCTACATTGCATGCCCCCATACATAAAATTTCTGAAAATGTGAAATTTTAAGTGTTCTCTCTAGAACTTGAAACCTTCACTTCAATTACCCTCCTACAATTAACTGCCCAGCATTGCTTTTCTGCTGTTCAAAGAAAAGAGGGTTTTATGCATCCCACTGTTCCTGAACCTAAGACAAAATGTTTTCTTCCTCTTGCTCACAATTTACTTCATGAATTATACAGAAATCACTTATCTTTGTCGTCTGTGTGTCTGTCCTCATCCGTATACTGTCTTCAATTATATGCCTTTAAGGCTGGCGAACCATTCTACAAGTACTTGGCATAGTACCACAATTAAGAGTGCCATGTTTGGAAAAAGCAGTAATCAGAAGTAAAAGTAGCAACCTTCTTACATTTCTGAGCTTTTTTCCTCATAGAAAAGATTTTTAATTTCTAGAAGATCAAATATACCCATTTGATTTTCACTTGTTCTTACCAGTATCCATCTGCCAGACATACACGGAGCCGTCTGAACACCCTACGACCAAGTAATCATCAGAAGGCCTCCATTTGATCACCTGAATAGGGAAAAGGTGACGAGACGCCAACATGATGCATTTTTTCTCCCGCAAACTTAGAAGTCCTACTGAATGGTCACTGGCTACAGAGCAGATGCAGTGCTGCACTCTTGCCTGAAAAGAAGAATAAACCTCAATTATATTTAGATTAAATTTAAAATGAAATGGATCCTGTCCTCAATAATAAACCAAAATTAATTATACATCCACTACCACTGAAAACCAACCACAATTTTAGGCGGTGATGAAAAATGTGCTGCTTTATATTATACGTAACACTCAGTTAAATCATCAAAACACTTCTGAAAATACTAAATTGATCCTACATTCAAGACTGTACAAGATGCCTTGGAAAATCTGCCGTTCAAATTGAAAGATGACCTTACTAAAATGATTGCTATATCTGTGCAGGCAAAGCTGGAAAAAAAAATTGATCTGTTATTAGGTGTTCTCTTTCCACACGATGAACTTTCCTTTGTTTGCAGCTGGAGCTGCAGTGCTTCTTTCTGTTTGTGACTGTGTGGTTTAGGTCCACGCTTTTCCCTGCACCTTTGCTCAAAAACAATACCCTCGCTGTCCCTCTGCCCTAATCATTTCTTAAGAGCCACAGATAGTTAGTTGCATTCCCGCTAGATACACTCTTTCCTTCACAGCTTCTGTCTATAATGTCAGCAGGTGCATCACCACAACTAACCAAACAATAGCCAATTAAACATTCTGCTATGTATTTTCTGCTCATGTCTAGATTTTGCCCTTCAATTAATTCCTTTTCAGAACAAGATGGAATATAAATAATCAAATACAGTAAAGATTTTCACTAGCAACAGAATCCACAACCTCCAAAATTAAAAATTAAAGTTTTTAAATTTTTGTAAGACAATTGGCATGCAATTTAAAACTCAACTTTTTAGTGACTTATTAGATTATGCTTTCAGGTCATACTGGGGGACACCATATGAAAACAGCCATCTGCAATAAACACTGTGGCTATTTATTGATGAGGAGGACAACTGCACTACATATATACTTTTCCTTATGTGGGATCTAAAGTAAAAACCTGTCAACCCTCACCCTTCTGGGCTTCTCCTAAGCAAACAGACCATTTTTAAGTAAAGATCAGTATCTCACTGATTGCTCAAATGTTGATAGGTATCAGGTGAAAAAAAAGGGCGAGAGTGTGGTGGCCAAACATGCGTGAGAAACAGACGCTAAGGAGTTGTTTTTAATCACAGAACTTTCAAGAACATTTATAATGCTGTAATCATAATTATCTCTATATGGGGATCTAACATCATTCACCTCTAAATTTGTTTGATCATGGTAATCTTATTAGACCTAGAGGAACACACTTTGGGGAAAGCTGCTGTAACTGGTTCCTTTCACGTTTTGGCTGCTAAAAAACTCAGGCTGAATTTTCTATTTATAACAGTGCAGGATCTTGAGAATCCATATCTGAATGTGGACTCTCAGTGGCCTCATTTGCTTTCTTCTTTCATTTTCTCTTCACCATGATTTAGCTCTATTTTTATCTTACTGGATAATGTTTATTTTTGTAAACAACCTAAAATCAATTTTTGAATGAAGCAGGGCATTAACAAAACAAAAATAATGGCAAGATTTGACTACTTACTTTGCTCTTAAATTCACATTTTCTTTTATTCTTTTTTAGCTTTATTTGTACTTTTTGTATTATATTAATAATAATTTAAACACTATCATCAGCATAGCAGGTGTTTACTAATTTTAAGGTTTAAGAAAACTAAGTTCAGAAAAATGGTGTTATAAACCTTTATTAAAACATTATATAGAATTGTCTATATAATGCATTTGTTAAGCTTACTTATCTCATTTTTCTGGTAAGCATTCAATTGAAACTTACCAGGAAAGTGATTTCTTTCTTTAAAAAGACATATTAAGAACCAAGGGGCAGTTGACTTCTGGGACAGAACAATTCATTTTATAATGTATGAATAAATCAAAACAAAGTGGCAAACTATTAAAAAAATTACATTTAGGAATGTTAGAATAAAACTAGGTAAATATACATACACACACAAATATATATAAATATATATATATACACACACACACACACACACACAAAACGATGAGGTCTTTATTTTGAATTATTTCACAGTACATATTTATCAATTGCACCAGGAATACATTGATAACTTAAAACAATAGCCAGTTTAATAGAATGGATGCTTTGCATTGCTACACATTATCATTAGTACTGACTTGTCAAATATATCCATTATTAATTTTATAAAAAGAAATGGTTGCTACATTACTGGTTAACAACAATTTTCTATTTTGTCACATCCGTCTACCAAAACGTAGTCATTTTATTTACATCTCTCATCAGAGAAACCGTTATCTTTTTCTACAGATGTGAATAACTAAGAAGAATGATTACTAAACAGCATTTCTTTTAATCTATTGACATATTTTCATCAGGCACTGGTCAGCCACAGTATTTATACATCCATCACTACTCTTGATTCTGCTACTTCAACTCGGCTCTCCAAACTCATCTTTAAAAAGAGCTAATCCTTAATTAGTGCCACACACCTAACTGGCCTACTTGCTCTGTGGTCCCCAACCCTGGCCATGTACTGGTCCATGGCCTGCTAGGAACGGGCCAAGCATTGCCTCCTAATCTCCGCATCACCCCCCAACCCCTGCAAACACACACACACACACACACACACACACACACACACACACACACACATATCCACCTCCCTCTCCCTCCCACCCCGACTCCACTGCCCCGATGGTCCGTGGAAAAATTTTCTTCAGTGTCTTTGACACCGGTCCCTGGTGCCAAAAAGACCGGGGATCACTGTATGTGCTAGTCCCCAAATCCCAAGTCATTTCACTAATGTTCACATAGACTCTAGTTACTCCCTTTCAAAAAGCAGGAAAAAATGAAGTATGACTCAATATGAACTTTTGCCAATATTCTTAACTATGTTAGGTGTTCCCAAAATTATGATCTATTGGAGATCTCAATATCTGAGGTGATACAAAGCTACTGACAACCACTGAGCTATGCACACTTTTTCTCTCTGTCAAATATCTCCTTACTGTAGTTTACAATTTAGCAGAGAGAAGACTCAAGCCATTAAGCAAAGGAACAAAAAAAAAAGGCTTTCACCTTCCTATAGACAACTTGATCTTAGTCATTATCAACCCCTCATGAGAAGTTTCACTGTCAGAACTTTCACCCTCCCCATAGATATGCAAGCAGATAATTTCAAAGATTCAAGAAAATGCAATCCATCTTTATAAGAATAGTTAAAAGCTCTACATCATCTTATTACTCTTATATAGCAAAATAAAGGACATAAAAAACAAATATTAAATAACACCATAGGATCTGCTTTAAAAAGTAGATTGAGATGTAATTTTCTGAAGGTTAAAAAAAAAAGATCTTTAACTCCAAAAATTCTAGCTTTTCATTTCCACATGATGCATTTTCTTCCAACACATATTTACCTAAATGTTTTAAAAACCAGTTTTATTCCTCTTTCACATGGTGCAATAATGAAAATAGGCAAATGACATGCTCCAACTACAATACAATATTTGGTCCAAAATAAAAATTATATACCATCCCTGTAAATGATAATAAGTATCTGAAGAGTTAAGTTTAGCTTTACTGTAATAAGAAATAGACTGGAAATAGCCAAAATAATCAAGAATGAAAACAAACAAAAAAAAAATCAATATTACTAAGCCAAAGAAAGCATAGTTATTAGAGGTACTTAACTCACAAGAAAAGATGGTTCTCTGCTTTTTAAATATAGATTAAAATAAATCTAATTTTTCTTCTTTCAAAAAAATGCTCATCCAACTCATATAAAGAAAACTGGCCTAAAGTGGAAATGGCCCAATACAGTAAAACCTCATTAATTTTGATTCTACTAATTAATTCTGAGTTGATGGTTACCTTTGCAGCCTGTGTGAAAACAAATTAATGGTATAAACAAAGCAAATGTCTAGCCTATTTAAATGTATAAGGAAAAAAGACCATTCAAGCGCCACTTTGATATTAATTTTAATTCAAACAATGAACAGAGTAATGATAAATAATTCTCAGCTGTTCGTTAAATGAAAGCACTTAAAAGATTTGCTAAACACAATTAACTTGGTTTCCCCTTATCTGTCCTCAAAATTATTAAAGAAGCACTTCTTAAATAATATTTTATAACTCCTGTTTCTTCTTTTTAAACCCAGCTTCCTCCAAATGAGTTGAATTGGCACAATTCCTTTATTATTAAATTCTAGAGATCTGGGTTGCTAAACACCCACTTCACCTACAATGACTAATTCTATAATTTGATTAATTCTATTCTACTTCACTTTTTCCATTTCATCCTGGAAAAGTCACCTAAACATAATTGAACACTAAGGGTATTATAACAAGATAATGTATAAAACATTTAAACTGCATAATTAAAATAATACAATTAAAAATGTAAACCTCATATCTTGAACTAAGCTTATTTGAAAAGCATCTATCCTCCAAACTTTTCTGATCACACATCCATTCCTTTAAAAAATTTTGGAATGTGTTCTCAATATATTTATATTTATAAATTAGATATATGTATTTGTGTGCCAATATACCATGTACATTATAAAACATACACAAATACGTATGTTAAAAGGATGACTCAAAGTTTAGATAAATAAATTTAAGATGAAATGAAACATCTTCTTAAATATCTCACTAATGTTAGTACTTCATGATAGATCAGTCAATACCACAAGGCATAATATATATCCTTAGGAAGGTTTCATTGTTAATGATAGTGTATGTGAATACATATTTTATATAATTATGAATTTTTTGGCTGCCCTCCTGCCAGACTGAACAACAATCATTGAAACTGATGATGTGGATTATAAACAAATGTTTGTTCTTCATTAAAAATATCTTCATCCATATTTTCTCTGCCCATTTTGTGGGAGCTACATTTAGAACTATAGAATATAATGTGCAAAAGCAAACACATTTTAACTGAAATAACAGGGGGTGCAAGCAACTCTGGCACCCTGCTTGAGGCATGCCCACTCTTGCCCCAGGCAATACATGCCCATCT